GCCCCGGTTCCAGTGAGGGCAGCTCAGCTGTTAGACACTGTTGAAGTTTGGTGGATCTTAAACACAACAAGTGATGACGTTTTGCACAACAACAATAGAAATGGAGATTGACAAAGAGAGTCATCCAAGGAATGTTCCTCCAAGAACAGGGCATGTCTGCGTGTATTACAACAAATACATGATGGTATGGGGAGGTTATGCGGTAAGAAAAGTCGTCAAACCAGTATTTTGGTGTTAATCCTTGTCGATGATAATATGAAATAGGTGAGACCTACTGTCCTGACAGTAGTCAGCGGGCACACATNGGGTGGGGTGTGTAACTTTAAGGTTCCTCATCCGTCCAAAAACCCTTGGGACAGTATTTGTTAAAATTGATGTGTATGTACACTATTCGGAATAGAAAAGTCCACGCCCTTCATAAAACTATAACAGAATGGCAAACATGCCCATATTTGAAGAGTTATTAAACTCTTTACTGTTGGAAGAGTGTATGGCCTAATGTGCACCGCCTTGGGGTGCGTTCAACAGGATGTCTGGGATACATGTAAGTTCGGCCCACATTGAAATTTGCATAATTATGACGTCAGAAAGCATACAACATCATATTGCCCCGCCAATGCCAGGCTTCCCATGTATGGCATTGGCCGAACCTGCCCCTGTGTCATGGGAGGAACCTGCCCAAAATTTAAATTTTAAGAAATCTGTATATTAGAGCAATACAATGTATGTATACCATCATGTGAAGCTGTCTGTTTGTAACACACATGCCATCAATAAGTAGCATTTCGGTTTACAAAAAGTCGGCAAAACTAGAAAGAAGTAACAGAATTCTTTCTGCCCTCTGAAAAATAATTTTCTCGCTTTTAGTAATCTAGAATTATAGTTTTCCTGGCATTTTTTAGCTCACCTGCAAGTGAGCTTATGTATGTCATGGTGCGGCGTCCGTCCGTCCTCGGCCTTCAACTTTTCCTTTAAACAATTTCTTCTGATGAACGGACAGGCCTAGAGTCATGATATTTGGCTGAAAGCTTTGTTGGTAGTAGACCTACAAAGTTTGAGAACGAAAATGACCTTGACCTACTTTCAAGGTCACAGAGGTCAAATATGTCAAAAACTTCAAATGACTTCTTCTGAAGAACTAAAAGGTATAGAATCTTCATATTTGGCTGATGGCTTCCTGGGATGTAGCTTAACAAAGTTTGAAAATGAAAATGACCTTGACCTACTTTCAAGTTCACAGGGGTCAAATGTGTCAAACACTTCAAACGACTTCTTCTGAAGAACTGAAAGGTATAGAATCTTTATATTTGGCTGGTGGTTTCCTGGATAGAGCCCAACAAAGTTTAAGAATGAAAATTACCTTGACCTACTTTCAAGGTCACAGGGGTCAAATATGTCCTTTCAGCGACTTCTGAAGAACTGAAAGGTATAGAATCTTTACATTTGGCTGGTGGCTTCCTGGGATAGAGCCCAACAAAGTTTGAGAATGAAAATTAGTTTGACCTACTTTCAAGGTCACAGGGGTCATATATGTCAAAAGCTTCAAATGTCTTCTGAAGAACTGAAAGGTAAAAAATCTTTATATTTGATTGATGGCTTCCTAGGATAGAGCCTGACAAAGTTTTAGGATGAAAATGACCTTGACCTTCTTTTAAGGTCACAGGGGTCAAATGTGTCAGACACTTCAAACGACTTCTTCCGAAGAATTAAAAGGCATAAAATTATAATATTTTGCTGGTGACTTCTTGGGAAAGAGCTCACCAAAGTTTGCGAATGAAAATGTCCTCAATCTACTTAAGAGGTCACAGAGGTCAGCAACATTTTAATGGATTTGTTCTTAAGAACTAAAAGGAATGGATTCATAAGATTTGGCTGGTAGCTTTTTGGAATAGAGCTAACCAATTTGAGAAGGAAAATTACATTGACCTACTTACAAGGTCACAGGGAAAAATATGTCAAGCAAGAAGAATCAAAAAGCATAGAATCTTATAATAATATTTTGCTGGTTTCAACAGACGGAGCCAACAAAGTTTGCGAGGGGAATATTTTTAGTGCAATATAATATTTAATGAGAATATCTTGCTATGGCTGCTTAAATATTCAGGTCAGGCCCTCTTGGGCCTCTTGTTTTGTATGAATATCCTGGCCAGTGAACTGCACTGCTAAAATCCTCAAAGTTGTAAATATTTGCTTAATACTAAAATATCAGGAGTGGTTGGAGTTACCCAAGGGCCGAACTGGCCCCGTTTTCCACAAGTTGCCCTAACCCCATATTGGAACCTGTAGCTATGGATCTGTCCTGGTTTGTTGTTTTAATTGTTTGCATCAATTACCGTTCTATTTGTTTGTTTTCTTCAGTTGGTACTGTAAAGTACTGAAAAGAGTATAAGAACGAAAACTAAAAAAGATGATTTATACAATTATTAGTGTTTGTCAATACTTGCATTCAAAAGAATCAAAGGTCTTAATCCAGAATTGATGCTTACATTTATATACAATTAGGATAATGATTATATTACGCAGTACATATTGAAGAGATTCTGTCTTTTTCTCTAGTTTTTTTGAAAGACAAAGAACATTCAAAGACACAAAAGTACAGAGGAATTATTAAGTCTTGAAGAACAGTCAAATATCCAATAATGCATACATTCATAAAAAACGAATTTTGACTTGGGCCTTAATTTGGCGTTCCTCTTGAAACTGCATGTATTTATACTTACTTGCACATGTCAGTAATACGTCAAAATATCTTCCTATCCATAATTATACTTATCGCATTTCCACTGTTTTCATTCAATCATTCTGATGCCAATACTGATCATATTGCAAAAACATATATACACCCAATTACTGTAAGAGAATTTACTGCATATTTTTCTCTGAAGTAATTTGTTAAGAAGAAGCGGTTGGCACAGCAAAACACGCCTTTAAAAATAAATCATGTTCTTAAAAATCAGGTTATGGAAAACTATGACATTATTCGGAAACGAAAATTCAAAAGATTTTTGTTGTTGTTGTGTTTGTTGAAAAATTCTGATAGAAAATGTCTTTATTTGAACTTGTGTTAAAATGTCTTCAGAAGAATTTTTTAAAAGTAACATAAATTCATGAAATACGTACACTACATCTAAGATATCCATTTTCTCGCACCTCAGACAGAGATATCCCTTACACCTTGGTTGGGATTTTGTTACAGAATCTTAACCCTCGATTGAGATAAGCCGATCTGGCTCAGTAACAGGTTATAGATTTTATTAATGTGTCCATGCCTACAATGAAGTTACAAATGAAAAAAATGTGCATTGAACTGTAGGAATAAGAATATATACTAAATAAAAATATTCTAAATTATGTGGTATAGCTGCAGAAAATTTTAGTTGGCTTCAGTGAATGTATTGTCAACATTATAATTATGATGACGCGTGTTAACAGTGACGTCACAGTCGCGTCACAACATGTTGTGAACGTCGATTTGGCATAAACGCAAAATGCGTACGTCTGGTATGCATAAACGGACTTATCAGTATCAACTGATGCTATTTTGAAGCTAAGGACAAATAACCAAGCGTATGCACTAGATGGAAACAATTTTCATTTTGGGAAAAATGAAAATATCAAAATAATATGTAGGACATCGATGGATTTCATCAGTAACATCGACTTGTAAAAAAATGTAGAATTGTTTCTGAACATAAAAATCTGCTGGAGATATGACAAAAAAAGCAAGGTATTCATTGATAATGTTAAATTCATTGTTTGTGCAATAAAAGAACATCAATGCAGGCACGGTGCAACGCATTTTGCCGTTTTTTGCGAGCCCGAACGACCAGAAGGACGAAAGTTTTTGAAGCCTTCATATAACATAGAATCAATTCACTCTCAATTTCCCATACTTTCCGTACATATGTTGCTATAATGGCTCGCACTGCTCGGCTGATCGCTTTGCGATCATCCAAGAGTGCCCGCTACGAGCTGCTATGCTGACGAAATCTTGTTTGTTTGTTTGATTGGTTTTACGTCCGCTTCACTACCGAGTAGTTTGGTTATCCAGCAGACGAAATTGATGCAGGTAGGCCTATTCCTTTGTAGTTCAAGTTTCCTCTGGTCCTGCGTATGCCCGGTCACCTTAGGGTTGCACATGCTGTTGCACCTAAAATTCCAATACCATGATAAGTCATATTGAAAGACCTCAATGAACAATCATGACTTAAATATGTAATTTGAATACATTGACTATAAAAACATACATAGCCAGATTAAAGTAAGCGAAAATAAGGCATAAAGACTGATGTCTTCATAAAAAAAGCTCACCAGACTTATAACAATGGCAAAAATCTTCTCATCATTATGTAGTAATCATGCATTTACTATTTGTTATTTGTTATTTTTGTTATTTTTGAAAAGAATCTTTTACATATCAATGCACAATGTCATTCCGATGAATTTGATGTCTTTAGTTTTCTGTAACATTTACCGTTAACGTTGTACGCCATTTTGAATATTTCCTTTGATCTTTTAAAATGCTGACATTATGTTAAAACTTGTTTTACACTCCAATCCAATATCAATGACAAATATTTGGTTAAGTTGTAATTGAAAAGATTACCCGAGCTGTCCTCTAACATTTGGTAACATTTTCAACTGCATCGCAAAAACAAAATGGCCGCCATGATGTCATATCCGATTTTTTTCTCTAATTACAAAACCTCATTTACAAGTTAATGTATTTAATTCATCTTGATGTGCAGATTATCAAATACATATCTTTTTTTAGGAAACATTTTTGAGTAAAATGTCAACTTCCAGTTTTTGGTAGGGATCAAAGCTCAAATGCACTATATTGGGTACCAACCTTAAAAAATCTTCTTCTCCACAAGGTCAAGAGTCTTGATATTTCATATTTAAGATGCTGAGATGTCTGGGTATCAGGTTTAAAAAAATGGTCGACATTGAATAATTATCAAGGTCACAATCAAGGTCACAAATTTCAAATGTTTAAAAAATTAAAATTTCTTTGATATAGAATATTTCGAAAATTGTTGGATAAATTCACTTTACACAAATGCGCACAATTTTGGCAGAAAACATTTTGAGTTTACCAGGTCGAGTTTTGAGTTATTCAGGGGTCAAACTTCATATGTGCTATTTCAAGATAATGACTTCAAAAAACTTCTTCTAAAGTTTTACAAGGGTAGAGTCCTA